ATCACAGAATAGTTTAGGCTGGAAGGAACCTTTAAAGTTCATCCAGTCCAATACCCCTGCTCCGGGCAAGGACATCTTCAACTAGATTGGATTGCTCAGTCTCATCCATCCTGAAATTGAATGTTTCCAGGGATGGCATATCCACCACCTCTCTGGGCAACCTGTTCCAGTGTTTCACGATATTCATTGTAAAAAACTTCTTCCTTGTATCTAGTCTGAATCAAGCCTCTTTTAGTGTAAATCTATCACCCCTTGTTCTGTCCCTACAAGCCCTACTACAAAGTCTGTCCCCATTTTTCTTATAAGCCCCCTTAAAGTACTTGTCAGAGGCTGAAATGGTTAATGATTTATGCATTCTAAGAGACTTTTTGCAGGCTTTTGACCTGCATGATACCTCTGATGAGCAGTCGGGCCCCTCCCTCCCTCCAGTGCTGAAGGTGTGAAGTGCTGAGCTAAGCTTGCAGGCTTTTGACTATTGATACATCTGATGAGCAATCAGGTCCCTCCCTCTGCTAATCTTGAAAGGCCAGAACCAGGCGAGAACCAGGCGAGACACAAAAGACTCAGCACAGACCTAGAAGATGCCTCAGGTGGACTAAGCCCTAAAAAGGCAAGAAGTTGCCTCAGAGGGGCTAAGCCCTAAAAGGCAAACAACTCTTCATGCCAGGGAGGTGCAAAAGCATGCTGAGGGTATATAAACTGACTGGTGACTTTGAGAATTTGGGTTCTCCTTCTCCCCCACCGCCTGTGAACCAAGACCATCGCTCTCAAGCATCGCTGGAAACCATGGCTCTCGAGCATCGCTGAATCCAGTGGGCGGTGACTATGTCCATTTCTTTTATACTCTCAGCTTCTCTCTTCCCTTACTCTCATCCTGGTTTTTCTCTCCCCTAAACAGTTTCTCCCCCCCCTGGAAAGTTATCCTAGTGCTGCATTGTTCTATGACAACACCCAAACTGTTAGCATGTTTGTTGATACAAGGTTGTTAAAATAAACTTTGTTTTCAGACACTGATTATTTAGTGTCGTTTCACTTTAATCCACCCCAAGGGAATTATTGATAAAAACTTGAGTTACCCCCCTTCCCCTTTTCCTGGGGCAGGTCATAACAGTACTGAAAGGTCTCTCCAGAGCCTTCTCTTCTCCAGGCTGAGCAACCCCAACTCTCAACCTTTCCTCAGATGTGGCCCTTCCCCTTTTTGGTAGCCATCCTCTGGACCTGCTCTAACAGGTCCATGTCTTTCCTGTATTGGGGACTCCAGAGCTGGACACAGCACTCCAGGTGGGGTCTCCTCAGAGCAGAGAAGCAGAACCCCCTCCCTCAACCTGCTGCCCACAGTTCCTGTGATGCAGCCCAGGACACATTTGGCTTTCTGGGCTGTGAGCACATGCCACGTGCAGGCTCCCATCTACCAAGCATCCGCAAGCACCACGGAAATGGCATCTTGGGATACACTTTGTGTGGAGATCCTCTACTAGACCTTAACATTTTGCATTTAAAGATTGTTAATTAAAATAAGCCAGAAGATACAAAGTGAAAAAAAAAAATCACAAGAGCAATAGGTAAGTTGGTAATGCCCTGGAAAGGCATTACCAAAAGAATGCTGTGATTGTAAGAACAAAGCAGGTCAACAGAATTCATTGGCTGCACATCCAGGAGAGGAGGGTAACATGCATTTTAAAAATAGCTTATCCTCTTGGGATGTTACAGGTAAGGTATTTCCCATACTCATATAAACAGCATTACTGTCCATTACTAATATATGAATCTTTTTTTCCTGGAACTTACCTCACCAGATGTTTCATCTACTAAAGAAATCTGAGTTGGAGTTTCAACTTCCAGTGCAACCTGTAACAAAATGATTAATTGCATTATAGGATTTACTGGACATTGTGCTTCATGTTTTTGGCTGGTATTCATTATCTAGATATCTCTAGCACTCACTGTGGTTATTGCTAAGCCTGTAAAATCAAAGTCATTTTCCCATAGTCATGAACTTCCATTTCCAGTGGGAAAAAAAGTTTCCTAAAAGTTGTCTAAAAATGAAATGGAGATACCTCAACCAAGGTGTACATACCTAAAAAAGTTAGAGCATGTGGGACTTATTACAGCAACAGCTCTTCTTTCTGTGGCTGGATCATATACCTTATTTTGGATGATTGCAAGACCCAAGACATCCCAGTCCTAGAGCACACCAGTGGATCTTTCTAAGATAGATCTCTGCTACAGCACTTCCCACTGCCCCCTATTACCAGGAGAGCCCACAGACCACAGGGAGCATGGATTTCTGTGTTTGTGCAGAGGTGATTATTTTTATTTCTGTAAAAAAAACACATTCAATTTAATGTTGCCTGTGTCTGCAAAGGGAAGGAAATAACTGCAAGTCACACCTGTACATGACACTGATCCCTTGAAGTTTGGCTCCAAACAGTGGAAATCATGTAAACTGATTTAGTTCTTCAGTGACTTCACATCGTTAAAACGTTTTCATGTTAGAGATAGTCCATTTTCCAAAAAGCAAAAGGAAAATAATATAACTACAGGTTATATATTCTCCAAGCAGTAAGAGATTTTAAATTAAGCAAAAGAGAAATTAATTAAGGACAGGAGCAAAAACACACGAGCAGGGTAAGGAAATGAATACAGAGATACAAATGATCAATGTAAAGCTGAGGGTGAGTGGAAAGGAAAAACTCATGTGAAGGGAATAATAATTAAACATCAATAAACCAATCCCATACAGCAAGCAGCAGAAAAGACACATTGTTGGAAATACTTAAGACCTGAAACATTGTATCGACACCAACATTAGGCATTTCTGAGGAGCAGAAGCTTCTTCTTTCCTAGAATCACTGCTTGGAAAACGTTAATTTAAAAATAAACACAAACTCACAATATGATTCTCCCAAAACTTGTATTTCCAGTTAGACAACAGCAATTCCTTAGTTACTGGTGAGCAGTATAGTTTAACTTTCAAGCTGTGAGGAGACAAAAAGCAGAGAGAAGTGTGCTTTAAAGTAGAGGCAAGGAACAATCTAACGACACATCAGCACCTGGCACCCAGTACATCAAAACCTGTGCTCAGAACACTCTCTCATGTGAAGAGACCTGCAGAGCAGGAAGCCTGCAGGCTTTTCTTCAGTACAGCAAACCCAAACTTACCTCTGTGTGCCCATGCCTGCATGGATTTTTGTAGACACAAGTTAAGTGGTCACATGTACAGGTGTACATGTTTCTGTTTCTATACCCACACCCCTGGAACAGGTGTTTGAGGCAGTCAGCATTCAGCAGAACTTAGAATACTCTCTATTAATCTTGTGCACAGTGCAGAGACCTGATGAGCAAAAAGAGATTCTCTGCTTGCATCTGAGGAGATGTGACATCTACTCTAACAACTGAAAAGTGCCGGGGAGCTATCCCACAACCTCCCTGGGCCCATTCCCATGTTTGACCACCCTCATGGTGAGAAAGGTGTCCCTTGCCCTTTTGTTATGTACCTCCAAGAAGAGTCTGGCTCCATCTTCTCTATCCCTACCTGCAAACAGTGACACACAGCTGACTCCTACTCCCACAGCTGCAGTCATCCAGCTCTCAGCCTCTCCTCACACATCACACACTCCTGCCCCAGAACAGCGTGGTGATCCTGCTCCAAACACCTGTTGGGGTGTTTTTTTTGTCCAGGGGAGCCTAGGATGGGACTAAATATTCCAAAAAGAAGTCTCACAAGTGCTGGCCAGAGCAGAATAACTATCTCCCTCAACTTGCTGGCCTTCTTCACAGCACAAGCACAGACAGCACTGTCAGTGTGCACTTCCAGGGAGTAACAGCAGAGATCCTTATGAAGTTCCACAAGGCCAAGTGCACCTGAGTTTGGGTAATCCCAGCATTAATACAGACTGGGGTATGAATGGATCAAGAGCAGCCCTGTGGAGAAGGTCTTGGGGGTCCTACTGGATGAAAAAATGAACATGAGCCTGCAATGTGCACTCACAGCCCAAAAAGTCAACTGCATCCTGGGCTGCATCACCAGCAGGCCGAAGGAGATGATTCTCCCTCTCTGCTCTGCCCTTGTGAGACCCCACTTGGAGTGCTGCGTCCAGCTCTGGGGACAGGAGGACAGGGACCTGTTGGGGCAGGTCCAGAGGAGGCCACAAAAATGATCCAAGGGCTGGATCACCTCTCCTATGGAGTCAGGCTGAGAGAGTTGGTGTTGTTCAGTATAGAGAGGAGAAGGCTCTGGGGAGTCTTCAATACTTAAAGGGGACTTATAAGAATGATGGAGAGGGACATCTTACAACGATAGAGGAGAATGACTTTAAATTGAAAGCTTAGGTAGATAAAAGGGAAAAACTTCGTGTAGTGAGGTGGATTATACACTGGCATAGCTCGCCCAGAGAAGCTGTGGCTGCCCCATCCCTGGGAGTGTTAAAGGCCAGGCTGAACAGAGCTTGGAGCATCCTGGTCTAGAATGAGGTGTCTATATTGCTGTGACTTATAACCCACGGCAGCTCCCCAAGCTGTTTTGCCCACGCCTTGCCGCGCACCAGCCGCCTCCCCCTCAGCGCTGCCGGTCCCGTCCCCCCTCAGCCGCCGCCGTACCTGCCCTCCAGCCTGCTCTTCAGGGCGGGCGCCCGCAGCCCCTTCATGTGATCTGGGGGGAGAGAGAGAGGCACGGTGGTCACTGGGGTGTAGGGGAGGTGTGGCGCACCCGCTGGGACGCTCCCAGCCCCTCGCGGCCGCTCACCCTTGTGGCAGTGCGACAGGAAGAAGGCGCGGGCGCGCAGGTTGTGGTGATCGAAGCGGTCGATAGACAGGGCCGGGTACTCGCGCATGCGACCCCCAAACCGGCTCATGGCCGCCGCCGCCGGCACCGCGCGCTTCCGCCTTCACCTCCGGCCTCCAGCCAATCGCGACGCGACCCCGCCCCCCGCCGGCCTATCAGAGGCGGGCACGGCCCTTTTAAAGCGGCCATGGCGGGCGGTTGCCTGGCGACCGTTGGCGTCGTGAGGGGGGACCCGCGTGAGGGGACCCGGGGCGGGGCTGGGGGGAGCTGCCCTGAGAGGCGCCGCTGCCATCGCGCCTCGGCAGCCGCTCCGCCCCGCCTCGCCTGGGAGAAGATCCCCTGGCTGGCGGTTCTCGAAGCGAGGTGGGCCCTCTTAAGGGCTGGGTGGGCGGGTGGCTGTGGGAGCAGCGCGGGGTTGCGGTCACAGCGCTGTCACATCGGGACGAGACGTCAGCCTGCGCACCTCGGCGCGTACGAGCAGCTGTCTTGTAGATTCTGCCCAGTTCTGGGCCCCCCTGTTCAGGAAGGATATTGAGGTGCTGGACCAGGTCCAGAGAAGAGCAACAAGGCTGATGAAGGGACCCGAACACAAGTCCTATGAGGAGAGGCTGAGGTAGCTGGGGTTGTTCAGCCTGGAGAAGAGGAGGCTCAGGGGAGACCTCATCACTCTCTATAACTCCCTGAAAGGAGGTTGCAGCCAGGTGGGAGTTGATCTCTTCTCCCAGGTAGCTATCAGCAAGACAAGAAGGCATGGTCTTAAGCTCTGCCAGGGGAGGTTTAGATTAGATATTAGGAAAAAATTCTTTATAGAAAGGGTAATCAGGCATTGGAATGGGCTGCCCAGGGAAGTGGTGGATTCTCCATCCTTGGAGGTTTTTAAGATGAGACTGGATGTGGCACTTAGTGCCATGGTCTGGGAACCACAGTGGTGTTGGATCAAGGGTTGGACTTGATGGTCTCTGAGGTCTTTTCCAACCTGGCTGATTCTATGATTCCGTGGAAGAGGGGAAGCTTAGGTTAGATATTAGCAAGAAATTTTTTTACAAAGAGGGCAGCAAGACGCTGGAAAAGGCTTCTCAGAGAAGTCGTGGCAGCCTCATCCCTGGAAAGGTTCAAGACCAGGTTGGACAGGGCTTGGAGCAACCTGGTCCAGTGAGAGGTGTCCCTGCCAATGGCTGGGGGTTTGGAATGAGGTCTTTAAGGTCCCTTCCAACCCAAACCATTCAAGGATTCTGTGAAATCTCTTAGTGACTTTTCTGGGACCCCAAACAGGCCCTGTGTTTGCTGACTCGAGGTAAGTGATGTAGGAAACACAGCCGTCTCCTCCTGCTGCTCTGGTCCAGAGTCTCTCCTGCATGGGAACGTGGGGCTCCTGCCTGGGCTGAAGATGCTGCAGGGCCGCCTGTCCTGGACCCAAGGTGCCCCTACCCTTCATCTTAAAATTTGCTGATAAACATGGGTGTGTTAGGATTACCAAAGGATTGCCAAAGCTGGTGAAGATACAGACAATGCGTCTCCCCAGTATCCAGCACCTAGGATTACCAAAGCTGGTGAAGATACAGATGATGCTTCTCCCCAGTATCCAGCACCAGGCACACAAACTGTGACTCAGAGCCCTGCTCCATGTTGACATGGAGCCCCTCACTCACAACAGCAGCTCATTTTTCAGACACATCCTGTTCCTGCTCCAGTGGCTGGAAGTTAAAGCCCCCCACCTGAGCTAGCAGTTGACATCATAGGCCAGAGGTGCCCTTGCCCCAAGTCTGACTCCAGGAGCTGGCACCAGTGTTCACTCACACACAGGTCTCACCAGCAGCTGGCACTTTGTCCTTCATCACACACATATATGGGATACAAAGTGAGATTATGCACAGAGATGCTTAAGATTTAAGAAGATACAATAGGGTAGGACAATCTGTGCTGATCAGGCATGGGGCTCAGCCAGGCACACATTCCTCACAGGTCTGTACCACTCCATGGATTCCCACACCTCTCCAAGTCTGGGTCCCCCCGGTTCACCGTCCTATCCGTGCAAAGTCCAGGCTGCTCTTCCGGGTGCCTGTATATAGTTTCTTGATAGCCCATCCACCGGTGTGAGTGGTGAGGTTTGTTTCTTGTCATGGTCTTTCTTTTTTTGTCAGGTCCTTGTCTCTTTATATTTTGTTTCTGTTTTCCCCCCTTTTCCCTAATTTCCCAATTGACAAGGGGCTCTGATCAGAGAACCTTACTGGAATAAACATTCTCGCACTCCTCTCCTGCCCCATCAATTAATGTGACTGACGAGGTTTGGTTCTCATCACCACGTCCCTCATTTACTGCTCAGGTTTGAGTCCCCATATATTCTTGTTTTATGGCTTCCTCCCTTTCCTGTAATCCCTTACTGCACTTAAAATGGTCCTTGAGCAGATGCCCTTAAGGAGCAGACATTCTCCTCCCACAAACCCTTCTGTAACTGTTAAGGAAACCACTATATGCCAGCCCAGGCTAGTCAGGATTCCACAGTAATTGTGTTATGATTAAATTAGTAAATGTGTTCCTAAAGCCAAAACAGAGATATATGAAATTTCACTGTTTACCCTAAATGAAGAGTAGGCAAACACTGTCATCTTTTAATCAAGTCCACTTCACTGTTCAACAATTCTTTTTAAATGAAAACTACTGGTATTAGGCTGAATATTTTCTTACCACTCTCTTGAATTCTTTCATTTGCCTTTATCTATCTGTTGTCTTTTGTCTCGTCCCTGAATTCCTGGCTGGAGTACAGCTGTATCCTGCTCTGGTGCAATGAAAACAGCTCTGTCCATGGACCTTGGACACACTAAAATAGACAAAGAGTACAAATTTTTAAATAACAGCCCAATATCAGGATGGTGCTTTTGTTATTTGAAGTCACCAAGCTGGAACTTTCAATATATGACCTTTATATCTGTTTTTTGAGCAGGAAAGCCTGTGGACAGGCACCCTGAATTAATGGTGACTCAGGAAGCAGCAGACCTATCTGGATGTCTTGAAGAAGCACATTCATTAGGTGAATCCAGCATATCCTCTCAAGAAGTACATAACAGTAGTAACATGTAAGTTATCACAACACCCTTACATTCATCACGGTTTATAATTTATTAAGATCTAATGTTATTGCTAATCATACTGACTGTCTAAGGTCAATACTGACTGACAACAGTTCTCATCAAACACTGATGAGCATATGCAGGGCTTGAAAAAAATTCTGTGATGGCTACAAAAGAGCCCTTTGCAGCACAGGAGAAAAAAAATTATGTTGAGATGGATATCTCAAGACTACCCTAAAGATTTAAAATAAGGATATGTGCTTATCCTGTTAATTTGTATGTGACACCTCATAACTGGGTGGGAAAACTACATTTTGATTTTAGTAAATGGTTGCTTTCAATTGCAAAATGATGCAGAGCCTGGTAAAAGAATGCTTGGAGTGCTGAACTGCAAGAAATAGTTTACTGTTGCCAGAAAAGAGCCCTTGTGCATATTTTTATTGATCTTTATTAAAGTGTAAGAGATGAAAGGCCCTTTCTTTGTTTGCTGATGACTGTCATACAGTCAGATGACAGAGATGCAGAATTCTGCTAGTTTCATACTATGGTAACAACAATTCTTCATGTAATTTCCCTGAAGATTTGTATGCTGTGTTGCGAGTTTTTTTTCTAATTTCTGCATTTCTAACAGACCAGTGCCATTTGTGCATTTGATAAGATTCCAGCATTCAGCTTCTCAAGCTCTCAGTTGAAATAGGAACTGGCTAAGTAAGGAAATTTTACTCAGTGCACAGGGTTTGGAGGCAGCATACTACTCACAAGGAGGGAGGCTGTGTTCTCCCTCTCAGAATCTGTCTCTCATTCCTTGAACATGCCTTCCTAATTATGGAGCTGAAGCTTGAGTCCTTTCCTAGTTTTGTAATGTCACCATCTCTGATCATACCTGCTAGCCATGACAGTGTTGTGTGTATTTTGCTTGCAGATGCAACAGAAGTTCTGTTTTAGTAGCAGAATAAGATACATTCAAGCAAATGCAGTAAAATTTAGATATAAGGTGGAAGTCAAATGATTCTTATTTTTTACATAAAGTTGAGATGTTTCCCTAGTGAGTTTACCTTTTTTGTTGTGATAGTTTTTGGTTTGTTTGGGTTTTTTGGGGGAGGTTGTTTGGGTTTTGTTTTTGTTTTTGTTTTTTTACAGTTTAAGTTTCCTCTTGTCCCAGTTCTGCTCTGTTCAGGTTTAGCAGGTGATTAATCTATTTACTATTTCTTAGCAAACTGAACAAATGTGTTTTGTGTGAGGAGGAAGTCAGTGGCAGTCAATGCAGGTTTTGATTGGGCAAGGGTAGAAGAGGGTGAATTTTGGTAGGTTGTGTGCTTTGTCTCTATCTGGTTTCTCTCTCAAGACCTCTTGTCTCTCATCTGCACTGTGGCCATGTGACTGGCCATGCATTTCTCCTTTCTCTTCCTCTCCCATCCTGAGTGTTTGCTGTTCTTCAGGAACAGCCCAGATCTTCATTCTGTGTCTCTCAGTTTGGTGTCGCTACAGGAGGAAGAGAGAAAAAAACAGAAAAACTCTCTGTCCCAAAAGGACAGCAACTGCAAAGATGTGAAATTTAAAAATCGCTATTTTTTTTTAATGCATCAATATGCACAATTAAATTTTAGTAGATTAAGTCAGGGTGTATATTGAGGTATAGGTAAGTTGGGTTTGAGATCAAATAGTGTATTTAATTTGATTCCAACTGCTTATCACTTTTTTTTTTTTTAACTCAGTCTTTGAGGTCTGTAATTCCCTTATTTTAAAATTTCGTTTTACCCATTTCTGTATATCCCCATTTCTGTATATCCCCATCAAAATCACCTACTTCTATCTTCTCTATTTATTTTTTTAAAATCTAATTTCAGGAAGAAGTCTGAAGTTCCTGGAGTCATGGCTAAAGCTGACATCAAACCAAAATCTATGCATCGTGCCAAAACATGGTCAGATGATGTAGAGAATTTATACAGATTCCAGCAAGCTGGATACAGAGATGAGGTGGAATATAAACAAGTAAAACAAGTTGATGTGGTAAGATTTAGGACTTTGCAAGGGTTATTACTTTAAACTTCTGTCCCATGTTAAATGCTTAAATAAAAATGGAGGTGCTGCTTATTTCCTTTCATTTAGGCTGGGTTCTGATACAGTGTTTTTCCTCACAGGTCTGACTTGAATTCTTGAGCTGTTTTTGTTCCCCCTCTCTTATGCATTTAGAAGCATCACAGATTTCTTTGAATAGATGTAGCTGATAACTAAAGGGAATAATTCAGCATTGAGGAAGGCAATATTTCAAAGTGAGTTCTCTGAAGTTTCCCCATTAGTCTGTCAATGGCTTTGATGGGGAAACTTGTTTGTTGTCCAAGGAGTCAGTCCTGGGTCACTATCACCAGCTTCAGCAGTTGGATCGTGTGACAGCACAGACTTCGTGCACACTCAAAACTTGACCTCTGTTGGAAGGGGAATATTTCCACAGTGGAAATATTTGATGCCAGCTGTGGTAAAAGCAGCTGTGATACAGGCTTTTGTCAACACCAAGGACTTGTTCCTCTGAGTATTGGCCATTGAGCTATTGAGTAATGGCCAGGCATTTGGTAGCTACTTGAGGTTCAAAATAGCAACCAAGAGGTTAATACAGCAAGCACACCATCTTTATCAGAGGTCTGTAATTTATCTTCCAAAACAGCAAATACAGTATGAAAAATTCACTTTTAAAAGATCTTAAAATCCTCTGCACATAAGAAAGAGCAGAATGTTCCTGAGAAGGTCACTCCTCATCCAGTTAATCATCACACACTACTCGTCACAACACAGCAAAACATTGGTGTGCGTAAGATACAGTTTATTATTTTGTTGTGGGCTCAGTTACCACTGCAAAGGCTGTGGTGTAAATTCCAATAACTGCAGAAGGAAATCCTGTAATTAGTGTGGTAGGATCTGTGCGTTTAAGATTTATGTCAGGGCACAACCATTGGCAATTAAACCCTGAGGAACATTAAAGAACACCACAGACTCATTGTAAAATGAGCGTGTGTTCTGTTCCAACCTGCCAGGGCCTGGCAGTGATTCTCTTTCTGAAATGTCTTGTTTACCCTATATTAGGTTTCTATAATGCAGCTGCTATTAATGATGCAATTATAATGTAGGCAGAATGAAGATTAAGGCTGTTATGTTTAGACAAACAATGTAAGTAACACAGCTGTATGCCTTTAAGCAGTAAGGTAAGTGATGAAACCACTTCTGGGACTCTCCAATTAGAGAAGGCTCTAGTTTGACATCCTGTTGTCAGCCCTGTCTGGAAGAGAAATGAGATTCAGTTTGATCAGAAGCAGTTCACAGGTGTTGAAGCTGCAAAGAGCTACTAAAGCCATAAAGCTGTTGAACATGCAAGTGCTCAAGCCTTTAGTTTAGTTTAAAGCTTCACACTGTGCAACACTGAAGAGCACCAGGGGAGTGCTGGTTTGTTTCATGCAGGACCGATCCTGCTGTGAGAGATACAGCTGACTTTATTTTCATGAAGAAGCATGTTTTTCAAGGTCAGGAAGAAACCTTTAAGTAAATGTCAGTTTTACAAAAATGGAATCTTTCAGCCTCCCAGGTTACTCAATAACTGAATAGCATCAACATTATATTCCTGGACAAGGTATTTTAAAAGCTTTTACTAGTTCAATTTTAAATTTGTCCATCAAATATCCTTGGATATCCATTTCTAGACTTTCTGGGTCACATAACTCTTTGTAGTAAACCTGAAAACTGGTTTCTGACACCTCGTTCTTAATCTGGTTTTAAAAGTTCAGCAAATTAATAGAAAAGCAGTATTTAGATGCAAATGAGGTTTTCCCATGGAAGTACACCCTATATTCCTTGCAAGATAATGCACAAACCTGGTTTAATGTGAGCGTGTTCAGGTGAATTTATATCCTTTTTATTCTATTTGTAGGTAGAATGTTGGCCAGAAACCGGATTCATTAAGAAACTTCAGAGAAGGGACAATACATTCTTCTATTACAACAAGCAGAGAGAATGTGAAGACAAAGATGTCCATAAAGTGAAAGTTTATGTGTATTAGTTTTGTTGTTGTTCTAGTTTGTTTGTTTTTATAAATCTGTCTGCTAAGACCTGCAAGTAAATGAATTGTGTAATCTGACTTACCTTAAGTATTGATGCCATGCTTACATAGAAGGGGGAGTGCTGGAAATATAGAGAAGGCTGGAGCTATAGACATAGAAACTTCACTTTTTTTCCTCCTATAACTGAAAGTCTTATTATTCCTCATTTTCCTGGTTACAAATGGTTGGACATAAAGATAAAAAGCTGGTAAATGGGCATCATATATTTGGGTTAACTGTGTGTAACATCCATTATAAGTATAGGCACCAACCTTTACTCAAAACAATATGATCTTATTGACACTGGCTAATGACAGCCACAGTCTCTTGGTGTAGCTAAGGGTTATGAGACTCCAGGGGCTAAAGGGCTAAAGCAGGGCCAGAACACTGACTAAAAAGCAGTGCAAGAATAACAAGCAAAGAATTGAATTGCAGGACACTGAACAATCAAGTAGCAAGGGCCAGTGATGAGCTGTAAATTTAAAGACTGGTTATTGTGATAGAAACAGTCACAACAAAAACGTCTTTGAGCAATAGGTAAGGTATCCGCACAGTATTTTAGTCAGGTGTGAGTATTAATTACTCAAGGAGGAAGTATTAATTGACTTGGTATCATATGCCTTCTTGAGGTGGGGGGTGGATTGTGGATTTACATGTGGTGAGAACAGGGAGTATAAACCTTCTGGGAGGACATGAAATCCACACTATGTAATATTTAAGGTTAGGTAATTTCCACAGATGATATGTGGAGTTTCTGGGCAGAATTAATCTCATCTAACTTCAAATGGTACATTGTCAGCATAATTGACCATTGACAGATTATTGTTGTGTAAACCAATAGATATGTTCATGGTAGTTACAGAAAAAATGTTATTAATATCTCCTGTCTCTAGACTGTCAACCAAGGGGTAACTAAGCTGAGTTTTAGGCATAGATTAGCAGTGTACATTTTACTATCTGTCTTAAGGATATTCTTCCTTCATTTGAGCCTAAGATGGAGGCCTCCCAAGAGGCCTATGTGAAATAGAGGACTTACAGCTCCTAATCAAAATAAGTAGTATGGGTGCAATATTCAAAAGATCCCACTGACAACGGCTGATGATGATGTCTTCATTTGCTGAGACTGATTAGAAAATTTCAGCTTTAATTTGTATAAACTCTGTTAGAGAAATGACTGGAAGATACTCAGAAGCAACTGTGAAAGTGTTATATTCCAAGAAGGTTTAATGGCACATAAAGAGAGAGTTACTGCAATGGCAGAAATAAAGCATTGTGACTCTAAATGTCACTTCAGCCTTTCGTTATGATTTCTTTTTTGTTTGGAGTGCTCTGGATTTACTTTTTAAGACAGAATTTTTTGCATACTTTGCAACTAAACAGTGGGAACAGAACAATTACTGAGATAACCCATCTATTTTGTCACTTTAATTTAGTGGATCTCACTTTGTCAACTTCATAGATTCCTAAAAAAGAAATCTTCTAGCAGACGTGAAAAGAGCCTTTTAAAAAATTCGTGAAAAATAGATGCGTTGTACAGCCAACTCACACTTATTGACAGAAATTATTGCTATCAGCAAATGCAGAAGAAGGGAGAACATTTGGTACAGCCATTTTCTCTGTCTATAAAAAAGACACAGTTGGGCATTGAAGAGCAGGAATTAAAACTGCAGGGAACTTTTTAAGGTTTGATTTTTTTTCTTTTTTAAGAAAGACTGCTAGAAATTGAAACAAATGCAAGAAATTATTGTAGTATTCCCTCATTTTACCTGACTACTCCTCAATATTTTTGCCATACTGCTGGATGCTTCTGTCCATATTTTAAGATCAAGAGTGTGCATTTCTTACAGCCTGTGGGTATTTCATTTCAGATGAGTAGCATGGGAATTCATGTTCCACTTCTGAAATGCTGATTTTATATGAGTTGGCAGATTCTTCTCCCTTTGAGAGATTGAACTACCTAGATTTTATTACTTATGTTTTTCAGTATTGTCAGTGTGGGAAAAGATTGAATCTCATTGTGATGTTTGAAAGATTAATTGGATGAAAAGGAAAGACAAGCCTTGTAATCAGTGCTGGAGGCCAGTGGACAGACATAGCCTTTGTCAGGACTCTGCTGAATTTGAGAGTTCTCTCACTTCATTGCCAGGACAGCAGGTTTTGTACTGGCAGTGATAGTTCCAGTTATGATTGTCCTTTGGCATCCAGTTCATATCCAGATTTCACTCCAGTTCGTGCTAAACTTAAGGTAACATAACCATTCCTTCAGTCTGTCAAAGTTCTTCCTGACCTGGCTTTGGTGTTCAGCCCTTCTGGCTGAACTTGAAGGTGACACTTGAGTACCAACAAAGTTTCCCCTGCTACACTTATGCTGGATGAATCTTTCATTCAGAAGTGCTGTCAGTATTTTCCCTTATCTGACACATCTGTAACTGAAATGTCCCCTAACTCAGTTTTAAGCATGTGGGGAAACGTGAGCGTACTTTTGTCTTAATGTAATGTCACCAACTTGTGAAGAAGTATTGGAAGTAAGCAATCTGGAGAAGATATGATTTGTTTTAGGGGTGCCACAAAGTTCATATAAAATAAATAATTTCTGAACATCATTACAGAAACTTTTTTACTGAACTTTAGTAACTTTAAAGAGCTGGAGATAAAATCTCATCTCTCAGTTTTAGTGCCTTGAGATGAAAATATGTGCTATTTTTCTGATAAGAGTCTTAGTAAAAAGTAATTCTGTGAAAATATCTTCCAAGGTATTTTTTTATCTGTTGGTATTCCTCTTATCAGGGAATACTGTAATGCTCTCAACAGCCATTTGCAGCAGCTCAAGGAGTGGCTGGTGGCAAGGCTCCCCGTGAGCTTGCACTGATCTACTCAGGGTAATTCTAATTCCCTTCATGGCTTTGTTCAAGACTTTCTGTGCCTGTTGAAGCTCATAAAAGGAGGTAGAATAAACTTCCAAGACCTGCTTTTCAGACTTTGGGTTTGACAGCTACATGTGGAACGGCAAGAGTGCAACCTTGTGTGTTCCAGGGTGGTGTGCTCTGATTTCAGCCATTACTTGAATCTATTGGGCTGAACATCTCTTGGCAGCTTACAATCACTTAATAAAACACATTTTCTTTCTTGTTGCAATCAAGACTTTGCAATTACTTGAAGTCTGAAGCCCAGTACAAACAGCTAAATGAGGGTGACTGGTGAATGCTTAGTGTTAGCAGAGTTCCAGACTGGCACCTGAAAAGTCCCTGCAATGTAGCCTTGAACAAACATCACCATTTCTATGAACGCTTTGTCAGCCAGTGTATTTACACATCTCAGTGTTGGGATAGAGTGTCTTTGCTGCTTGGCGCTTTTGTGGATCTTTTTTCCCATCAATACTCTTCCATATTCTTGGTCTTCACAGGCACCTCACACTCATGGATCCCTTGAAAATCCTGTCCAGTGTCTTCTACCCTGTCTGTCTCAACCAGCCTTGGCTCAGACCTCGAGTCTTCTCCAGGGGCTGGAGTTAAGAATGGGATTTAACAAGAAGACAGGCCAGACTGCAGGGATCAGAGGCAGGGCCCAGTCAGGTGAACGTCCTGCCCAAACACCTGCTGACATGTCTGATCCCTCCAACCTCCCTCCTTGCCATCTTCCCATACTTGTTCCACCCTGATCCTTCCCTTCCTTTGATCCTGCCCTCAAACATCCCATAGTTAGTTTTGTACAGTCCCTCAGTCTCCTTCAAATACCCCTTAATATTCACACTAACCATGTTTTCCCCGTCTTATCAGTTTCAAGACTGAGGCTGACCCTCTCCAAAGCCAGAGTAGCTCCACCAGTGCCTGACAAGCTCTGGCTTCCCTTATTATCTCTCTCATCACCTGCTCATTAATGGTTGCATGTCTGTGTGTTTAATTTTCCATTTTCCTCATTATTTGTATTTCCATGATGTGGAATAAACCTTAGCCACACAACTTAGGGAAGCAAATGCTCTCCTGTTTCACATATCCTCCTGGCAGCCTCCCCAAGGCAGGCACTTGGCTCTGAAGGATGAAGCCATGTAGAGGCACCTACGCAGCAGGAGCTCTGTGGTGCTGCTGCTGAAGGTGTCCAAGCAGGCATCAGCTCTAAGGACAGGGAGACAAAGGGAAAGGAATGCCTAAAAGCAGGAGGAGGAGGAGGATGTGGTGGGGAGGGAGGGAAGAAGGGGATGGGTTCAGGGAAGGATGAACACATTAATGAGTCAACCACACAGATGCATCAGCCTTTTGCCAGCCATCTTGTACCCACAGAAATCTCCTCCTTTGCTGGCAGTAGCTCAGCTCTTGCTGGCTGGGGAAGAAGGACACGGTCCCAGCTCCTCACTGCAGATGTTCCTCCTGCCTCCTTCCTCTGAATGCCTCATCCAAGGGGAAGGTGTCCTTCTTGGGTGGATAAGATGCTGGCAGCTGCTTGGGGGATGGAGCAAAAAGCAAGGGGACTGGACATGTGGCAGGTTCTTCATTTTTGCCCAGGGTGTCTAGAGGATGTCTGCTGTGCTGTCCTGGGGAGCATCCTCGTGCCAAACACATGGTGCTTTTGAGGAACAGCCAGCGCTGGGACGTGAGCGAGGAAGAGCCAGCAGGTGGGCTGTGGGTGCTGGGAGATAAGTTCTAGGATGCTGTGCCTGGAGAGATGGGCTGGAGCCAGGCGTGCTCCATGCAGGGATGCGTTGGGCAGTGTTTCTGGAGGAAAGAGCATGGTGGCCCTGCAGATCTGCCTTTTTCCCTGGCTCTGGTCTCCTGAAGCTACAGACTTCGTACAGAGTTTTTGCTCTGTGGCCCCATTCTGTGACTGTAGTGATTAGAACTTTCCAGACCCTATCCTAACCTCCCTGACAGATCCGTCTTGATCAGAAGGAGCTTGAGTCACAGCCCAGAGGGACCCAGCTTCCCTTCACCGCCTCTTAAAAAAGGAGGAGGTCTGTGTACCAAGGGCTGAAAGGTCAGTGTTTGGAGGAGATGCTAATTAAAAAGATGAAATATGTCTTTGATAGCCTATCACTCACAACTTCAGTCTCAACAAGTGAGAAAGATCACTACACTTGCAACTACAAAGACAGAGATTTATTTAAAACATCAGTGGATTAATATTTAGTCGGACTAGAGCAATATTTTGGAGAGAAACAGAGAAGAAAGATATATGTAGATAGACATAGATACAGATATAGATATAGATAGATATGAACAATAAGTTCAGAAGTGGTATTTAGAGAAGAGCTATTCATTGCTTATGTGTATTGCAAGCAGATTATTTAGAATGCAAGACAAAAGAAAAAGAAGAAATACAAAAGCTTAAGTATGCTACAGACAGTAGTAAGATTAAAATACCATTGAAAATCTTCGTTTAGGAATAGCTTCTCTGCTATTTACAATTTTACCATTTATATCCCTCAGATGGGAAAAAATCACACCAAATGTTCATAGTTCCTTCTTTACTATATCAAAGCAAAATAGTGGAATCCATCTACACCAGATGAAATAATTTACTGTCTGTAACTAAGGAGGATATGAAGCATCACCTGCTAAATATAAACACTTTCAGTTCTGAAGTCCAGGGTCATGTACACTCTCAGTAGCTTAGGACTCCATTTCATGAATTTTAGATCTTAACAAACTTTGGAAAACTGGAGAGGCACCAGAGGATGGATGGAGGGTCAACATGAGCCAGTACTTCAAAAGGAATGATACTAGACTGAATAAACAGACTCTAGTCAGGGATAAGCTAATGAAGTGGTTACCCTGGGACTCTGTCAATAGAGGTTAATAAGTATTTTCCACTGTGCTTCACTGATCAGACACATCTTGTCCGACACAGACAAGATGGATACAGAGATACAAGACAGACACAGAGAAGGCAGAGGGTTTGTTTCTGGAACATTATTTTACTGCCTGAGGAGTAAAACAGTTTCCAAACACTGTCATCAACCTCAGCCCAGAGTTACCTAATGATAAGCAGTGACTTGTGCTGTGTGAGACCCTAAACAAGAGATTCACACACATCTATTCAGACACCATGAAATCCATGAGCTTTTAGTAAGATAACAGCTTCCTATGCAAATAGGATTTACATTACTTGCTTTTCAATTCAGAGGCTGTAGCTGCTGCAGGTTTTGAATTGCACAGCCCATGGAGAAGAAAAAACCTGTGGCTGGGGCAGTGCCAGCTGGAAACATTTCAGCACAGGAGACAGCAGTCTGGATTCCAGGCAGGTGTTTTAGTCACTCTCTGGCTAGCCCTTGTTTAATGGAGTGTGTGCCTTGGG